TCTCTTAGATGTGAATAACTGTAAACAAGTGCTAATATGAGGAATTGTTGTTGATATCTGTGTTTTATACTGTATTTCAAAACCATAAATTATTAAAATGCTAAATACAGTATTTTTTAAATTATTTTGACATAAATTAATGCAAAATAATGAAAAGAGTATGAAAAACATGCTTAATAAAATTTTTCTGACAAGTGTTTCATATATATATTTTTTTTTAAAAAAAAGTCTAAGTAAAAAAGTAAATTAGAAAAAGAAAAAGGACGCACTTTCCTTATAGGACAAGAGTTTTATTCTGCAGCCCCGAAATAAAAAGAAAAAAAAATGTAATCACAAATTTATAGGTAGATAACATTTTCTCGCTTTAATTGGCACTTCAAATTTAAAACATTACATAAATTGATTTTAAAATTATTTTTATAACTTTGTGGCATTTGAGAAAAACATGAATAATTTTAAATTTCTCAAAAATTGAGGAGAATTTTTTTTAACTGTACGAATCATATTCTAATGACTCATTCTCGATTATCACCGATTACGGATTACGAAAAAAACCTTATCTTCAAAATATTGTGTCACTGTTACGATTCGGATAACCTAGTTGAGCCCATGTCTACAAGGTCGTGAGTTCGATCCCCGCTGACCGAAGACTCTCCGTGTACAAAATGGTGACGGGTGCACGCTAAATTTGCCAGGGTTACAAAGTCCTCCCAGTTCCCATAACAAATCAATACCTCAGGGGGTACCGGATCGGAGAATGTTCGTGCTCTGGTTCAGGTCAAAATTACAATCTGTGGCTGGATGGTTTGTGAATACGTCATTCCTATGAAACGGGTTGGGACGTATGTGTGTGACTGAAATCGAGTTCTTAGCCATAGGATGACTATAGTGGAAAGCAAGAAGTGCACCCCTTTGCGTAAAATAGGTTTGTCAGTATTGACACGTGGCATAAGATAACAACCACAACATTGGGTTATGGTTACTTTTTTCAAAAGTAAATGTTTTTAAGCATTCAAATAAATATACTATAATTTTCCTTTCTTTTTATATTCTTCATATTTTGATTTTGTATGTTACTTTCTAAGCTCTTAGAACTAAAATATTTGTGATACTCATTAAAAAATTATATCAAATCGGCTCACTTTTTAACAGTTTTCGAAAAACTTAACATTACATAAGGAAGGTTACATTTGTCTTCATTACAATATATTTAGAACAAAGAATACACCTTCTAATTTAAGAAGAAAAAAAATCCATTACCAAACAGACATGCCAAATTGCATACAGAAATATATAGATTTGTAACCCGTTTCTGCAAATTTGTGATACTCCTTAAAAATAAGAAACAATTAAATAAAAAAAAACTTATTTTCGAATTTATGAGTCAAATATTTCCATCTATACACAAAGACAAACATTTGTAGGAATTTAAATAACCATATTATTTTAAGTATTCAATTTTTTATCCATGTTTAAATTTTCCATATCTTTCTATAAAACTAATATATTTCACTTATAATGTTAATTCTTTTATATGCATCAAAATAAGAATGTCAAAAAAAAGTGAATTATTTAAAATTTCCCTAAATTAACTTACAAATCGCCTTTGTCGCAGATATTGATTTTTTACCTTCTACAAATAACGCGTTCGCACATTATTCGAAAATTGGAAGAAACTGCTATGCATGGCCAACGCTAAGGATTTCAAATTATTAGCCAAATATCAAAAGTATTCGCCAAATGCAAATTTTAAAAATTTTTTATTATTAATTTTTTCCCATATTAAACTATTTTACGGTAGTTTACCTCAGGCTTTTATTATTGGATGAAATTCTAATTGGTTATACGGCGCATCGACTGAAAATTACAGCAATCGAATAAAAAACACAGATATGTTTAGAAAAATTCATTTTGACGCAATTTTAATTTCTTTTAACTGAAAACTTTATTCTCAGAATTTAAGTCTTCATCGCATTTGAAAACCACCGCACGATTTTTTAATTTGATCAATTTACACCAGAACAGGTTATCAGATAATGAAAGAATTTAATATAAAATTTAGTAAAAATGAGAAAGTGGTAACAATTATGTATCTAAAAATTTGTTAAATTTAATGAATATGATTGGTTTGTCTGATTTACTTATCAACCACCACTGATTCAATTCTCAAATATATACGACAATTTCTCTCAATTATTTTTAAAATAATATTTGAGTTCATGCTCGCAACGGGTTCACTTTTGGAATTATCAGCGCAGACTTATAAAAACAGTGTGGAGGCTTTCGGATGTAGGAGGCGATGCACTTTTGAGATCATGTTCTTTTCTAAAGATGGATAAAAAGTGGCAACTTGATTATTTTATTTAGCGTGGTGTATTATTAAAAGAAATCTCTTTAAGACGATTTGAAACTACTCAATTACAAAACTTTCAAACTAAAAGAAGTAGCCAATAATTGAAAATATTCACACTTAGTTTAAATGAAAAGATCAAATAGATTTTTTTCAAATATCTTCTCATTTTTTCTCTCCACTAGAAAAGGTTATATTTATACCTCCGCTTCGGGAATAAATTAAAGCATTTAAAATACAAATCAAAGCTTCGATAATAAATTTATCTATTAAAATGCAAATTTAATAACAATTAAACTCTTCTTCTCGGGGAGATTTTTCGATAATGGCGTATAAACGAAGAATCACTGATTATCCTTTTTACTTGCAGTGAAAAAGATAATTAAACATTAGTGATATTTTTTATTTTTTTATCATACTACTAATAAAATTTTAAATCCTAAATCTTCATCTAAATTTGAAGAATACCTTTATTCAGAATTTTTTTTTTGCTTTCATTTTGTTTCGGAAAAAAAATTGTTGCACGAAAATTCCAAAGTTTCTTTATACTCTCGAGTCCGTTAATTATTAGAGAATCTTATCAGAGGACCTAAAAAATTTTTTTCTTCTTTATTTTAGAATTTTTATGATAAAATTTTGAAAATTTTTTTTATTAACTAGTACAAGGCGATATTGGAGTTTAATCTCGTTATGCGTTGTCAGGATAAATCAATATTTTACTGAGTATTGTTGTTTTTTGCTAATTTGACTAATTTGCATTATTTTTATATTGATCAACTGATTTGTCACCCAAATCAATTTAATTGCATTTCACTATAATCTGATAAACAATGTTTATAGTTACCAATAATATAATATTTTATCATGTATATTCATTTTTCATTTTCTGATATTGATCGTTGATATTCTTTTTCTGATATAGATCGGTATATTATTATTTTCTATAATTATCATTATCCATAATACACGTTACATTAATTTAATTATTGTTTATAATAAACAATAATTATAGTTACCAATAATATAATATTTTATCATATATATTCATTTTTGATATTGATAGTTAATATTCTTTTTCTGATATTGATCGGTATATTATTATTTTCTATAATTATCATTATCCATAATACTCGCTACATTAATTAATTATTGTTTATCGAATTTAATTATTGTTTGTAACAATAATTATAGTTACCGATAATATAATATTTTATCATACATATTCATTTTCTGATATTGATCGTTAATATTCTTTTTCTGATATTGATCGGTTTATTATTATTTTCTATAATTATCATTATCCATAATACTCGCTACATTAATTTAATTATTGCTTATCGATAATAATCGTAAAATTATTATTTTCAATAAATATGGTATATTCATTAATTATTATTAGGCATGGCATGAACTATATATAGTTAGAAATATGTAGTGAACAATTTTTAGTACGATCTTTTAAAAATATCAATCTTCTCAGCAATAACCTTAACTATAATTACAAAAAAAAAAAAAAAAAAAAAAAAAAAAAAAAAAAAANAACACATTTAAATAATGAAGGCCTTTCCCAACACCTATGACCGTTTTTGATAGTTTATAGTCTATTAAAAAACTATTGGTGTATAAATATTGTAAGACAATTTATTGTTAAATAGTAAAAATTTATTGTATTGTATTACTGTATAAACAATTTATTGAATAAATTGTTTAGTTTTTTAAACCTACGTTTTAAAATTATCAATCTTCTCAGCAATAGCATCAACTATAATTACAAAAAAAAACTCATTTAAATAACGAATACCTTTCCCAAGACCTATGACCGTTTTTGATATTTTGAGCCAACTTATTGTATGAATTGTATTGTTGTATTTAAAACCAACTCTTGCCATTAAATCAGTTTCGTAAAATTATATATTTAATTCAGTTTTTCAAAACCCATGCTTTAAAAATATGAATCTTCTCAGCAATATGATAAACTATAATTACAATAAAAACACATTTAAGCAAAAAATATCTTTCCCAAAACCCTTGAGCGTTTCTAATAAATTATAATCTTTAAACAACTATTGTTGAATAAATATTTTAAACCAACTTATTGTATAAATTGTATTGTTGTATAAATATTTTACATCAGCTGTTGTCATTGAATCGGTATTTCGTAAAATTATATATTTAATTCAGTTTTTCAAAACCCATTAAAATATATAAAAATATATTAAAGCAGATTGGAATTTTATTATAGTAAATGAGGAATCCTGAGTATCTGAAACTAATAAACACACCATTGCAGCAATCCAATCAATGATGCGTGGTTTCAAATAGTTAAGTTACCAATTTTAGTCAATTGAATCTTATACCAACCATTTTGCAATTCAATAAATTTCGCAAAATGCTACAATACAAAACTAAAATAATAAAATATTAAAAATTATTGAATTATCAGAAAATATTAAAATAATTAATAAAAATATTCCATTTTTTTGTTTTGTTTAATAGCAAAAACGGTATTATCTCAGCAAATAAAAATTATCAAAAAACATATATTTCTAATGATACTAATTATTCTATACCTTTATATACTGATGAATCAATTTTCAATGATACTATAAGAAACTGCAGTCCCGACGAAATAAAGTAAAAGACTGCTTACCTGTGAATAGCCTATTTGAAAACGAGATATGAATTTGTTAGAAATAGTGTTATAAACAATTATCTGAGGATAATTTCATGAGAGGATAAGGAGAATCCTGCTTCTTTTCCTCATACCACCATGGCTGACCATCTCTACATCACCTCGATCTATAAAATGATTCCTGCCATCTATCGACCAAAGAATAAACTATGCGGCACATTGCGTAAATTGCTCATCGGGCAGCAACTGCAAGAAGTTTTCTGATACAAAAGTGTTTGTTGTCTTAGAATGATTTAAAAGAATTGTTACTTTTATTTACCAAATCATTCTGAAATTATATTTAGTGAAGTATTGTGTAAAGTTTAATAAATATATATTGTTTACAACAAATACGAAAAAGTAAATTATAAAAATTTAAATTAGTAAACAACTTAACCTCGATACCACTAAAATATTTAAGATTTTCTTCTTTTCTGTCCATTCGAACAGAGGAAATGGAGTTAGTGAGGACAATTCTTATAAAATCGCCAAAAAAGCTTACTTATCAATATTTTGAGAATATCTAGTATTCTTTTAGTCAAAATTTGAATGTTTATTTGTTTGTTTTGAACGATACATATGCTCATTTGATTGTATTATTTTAAAAATATTTTTGTCTACTTTTGTTTCATTAAATGGACAAGTATAAATATGTCAAAGGGCTAGTGTAGACATGTCATAAAATTAATTATTTAATATGTGCTTACTTAAGAAAAACAAGTCAAATCAAATTCGAACTAATTTTTTCTTAAAATAAACCCATTAAAATATATCAAAATATATTAAAGCAAATTAGAATTTTATAATAGTAAAGAAGGAATCCAGAGTATCTGAAATTAATAAACACACCATTGTCCTTAATAAATAATTTTATAATTGTCGATTTTAGTAGATGTTGTTTTTAATTACATAAATGCCAACTATTCCCATTTCAGTTTACCGCCATTTTGAATTTTAGTTAATGTTGAAGATTTTTAATTACATGATCGTCAACTGTTACAGTTACAGTTTATTATAATTGTTTATTTTAGTTAATGTTGAAGCTTTTTAAATATAACCCAACTATTCCATTTTTAGTTTATCATAGTTTATTTTAATTAATGCTGTAGCTTTTAATTAATATAAATGCAAACTATTCCCATTTTAGGGCGTAATCATTGTTCATTTTCATTAATGCGAAGCCTTGTAATAGCATAACATTGGGGAATTTCATTTCGTGTGTGGGAATTTCAAATCTGAAACTTATTTTGTTCCGAAAACAACAGAATTTTTTTCAAAATGATATTTTATTATTTTTAATTTAACTTAATTTAATTTTATTTTTTTGTCTGAACATACAAGTTTATAAAGTACGTATTGGTTTATATACATATGCACTTGTCTGCTCCTTTAATAATAAGACCAAAGACAAAAAACATAGGTACATAACGTGATTCATCAAAAATTAAAATGTATTTTCCCTTGATTCCTTCCCATCTTTACGCACCAGAAAATTGAGGACACTTAATATTCACGGCATGCAGTTAGGTTAGCCATCAGTTAGGTGACATGTCTCCCATTTCATGACCATGTGTACGTATTTGCAAAACAAGGAAAATCGGCGTCACTCAGTTACTGGAATCTTTGAATTTATTTATTTATTTTTCTAAAATTTTTATAACCATCGTTGAACAGCCAATTCAATTTTGGGTTTACGACTACTAATGTTCAACTCCCTTGCCTTGTAATTTTAAACCCAATCCAGAAGACAAGGGAACTCCTGGATTAAGAATTGAGAGAAATTTTTCTTCGTGGAAAATATTTGATGGAACTAGCTAACATTTGCGTTACATGGAGAGGAAAACTACGAAAACTTCCGACAGTTAGCTTGACAGCAAGGGGACTAACCAATGATCCGTCTACCACTGAGGATAGTTTACGTCAGCATTGCGATCGGTGCGAGCTGCATACGGAATTCGTACCTACCAACCATCACTGGGATTCGAACCCGGTTCACTCTATTTAAAGGCGAATGTTCTATCCCCTGACCATGACGGCTCTTTAAATTTATTCGGAAGAGACAAGAAACTTGAACCTTTCTCAAGTAAAAATTTACAAGACATTGCGCTTAGAGTTTTGATAGAAAACTTAGACAAATGAGGTATTGTTTGCCATATATTTTTAAAGTGTTTATAAAAACTGATAGTTAAGAAGTTATAAGGATTGTGTGAAAATAAAATATAATTTTATACTCTTTTAAAATCCACTTACTGCTTTTTAGACATTTGAGGCACTGTCTTCATTGTTTCACTGTTTTTTTGAAACTGACTGTTCAGAATGTGAATTTTGTGGGAACAAAATACAATCCTGAATTTGCATACTCATTTAAGCATCTCAAATTATTATCCAAGCAAGTAAAATATTGTATCCTACATATGTTTGCTGACTGTATCGAATGAAATCATACGCGAAACAGTGAAACTGATTTCTCAGAAGTTGAAAGGATTTTTGTGCACAAAAAGTATTCTCATAACCTTATTGTTATTCTTAATTATTATTCTATTCTTAAATTGTTGTACCTTCTTTACAGTTTTAACCAGTAGCAAATTGTTTTACCTTCCTCGAGTGAACCTAGCTACTGCTATTTTGACAAATTAGGCATTCTTTTTTATGTTTTATAGTTTTATTCATTTATGCATCTCATTTATGCATCTGACATTATTATGAAAACAAGTGAAACATTGTATCCTACGTATGTTTGCTCAATGAATCGAATGAAACCATACACGAAACAATGAAACTAATATTATAGAAATTGAAAGGATTTTAACGCATAAAAAATATTATTTCTCATGTATTTTTGCATGCTGAATTGAATGAAATCATAAGCGAAACAATGAAACTAATATTCCAGAAGTTAAAAGGATTTTTGTGCATAGAAAATATTATATCCTGTGTATTTTTGCACCACACTGAATCGAATGAAACCATACGCGAAACAAGGAGACTAATAATCCAGAATTTATAAGGATTTTTTGTACGAAAAGTATTAGTTTTATTTAAGCTTTTGGTAAGCTATCTGATCATTTAGTTAATTGGATCAGATGTAACGAGGGTTTTCAATAATATAAAGTAGAATTCAAAATACACCTTTTTGAACACCTTTTATAAAAGAAAATGGTAGGGTATTTTCCCTTTAACGCAATGGTAGCATAAAGTGAAACAAAACAAAAAAGAATGTGCATACATATTCAAACTTGTAACAAAAGTATCCGAAAGAAATCAGTGCAGGAATGACGCAGGCGACATTTGTTACCTTTTTAATTACTCAACCCTTTCCACCACTATGACTTGCATTTAATATTATTCTTATACAAGCATTTTTTGCTTTCTCTTTCAGTAGTTGACGGAAAAAAATATGCTTTAAAATGTTGCTAATTTTATTTTATTTTCGTAAATTTNACCCTTTCCACCACTATGACTTGCATTTAATATTATTCTTATACAAGCATTTTTTGCTTTCTCTTTCAGTAGTAGACGGAAAAAGATATGCTTTAAAATGTTGCTAATTTTATTTTATTTTCGTAAATTTTGACTTTTAATAGTCTGCACTTCTTGCAATTTTAGTAACCATTAGCAACCCTGCCATTGATACACCTGACATATGCCTTAATAAGATGTCCTAACTATGTGTTAATGCCGTACCACTTTATTTTTAAAAAGGCACATTCTGCATGCTTGTAAAATGGGACGTTTTCTTTCACGGAAAGAATTTTTCAGTAGACTTAATACTTATCTATTTTGGTACTTCATTATACATTTAGCTACCACTTCGGAAAATCTTTTTTATAAAGAGTAAAAGTTGGCATGAACTGAGCCATCTTCTGCTGCATCAGAAAGTCTTCACACAGCATATTATAATCAGTCTGCCCAGACTACTAAGAAAGTGAACCTGTTGTGCGCATGAACCCAAATTCTACTTTAAAAGTACTTCGATATCATACATAGATAGTTATGTTAGGATCAGCCCTGCGAGGGGCTCTAACTAATTCATCTGAGTGGGGATGTATAATAAATCGTCGAAGCTCAATTGAATGGAGAAAGTTGTGGTTAAGTAACATTTACTGAGCGAAAATTAAAGTAAAGAAACGAGATTAAACAAACAGGGAGCGACGTTGGCCCAACTAATATGGTACTCCTGAAAGAGAGGCCTTGTATATTCCTGAATTGATGGATGTTAACACAGGTGGGCATTGGGAAAAAAAAAGATTAAACAAACAAATTTTAGAGAGAGAAGAGGTTTTTGTGGCAGACTAACTTGCCACCCCCCGAGGTATTATTTCCGAAGCATCGCAGCTGCACAATAACCCTATAGCCTCAGAGAAAGAGGAAAAATACATAATAATAAATTCACAAAAATATATATATTTTAAAAGTAATTGAGAGAAATTTATCATACATATTTGAGATTTGAATCTGTAGTGATTGAAAATTGACTGAGATAAACCAATTATATTCATAAATTAAACAAATTTTTAGACATATATTTGCTACCACTTTCTTTTTTTACTAAATTTTGTATTAAAGGACATTTTCGTATAATGGTTTGCCCCCATAGTGGTCAGATAAGACTACATGTCAGAAACCGCGAGCAAGCTTTCAGTTGTTGGAGGCGTTAACTGAGCCATCACAGCTCATATCATATAAAATATAGAATATGATAATTTTTAAAATTCCTGAAATAATGTGATTAAAAATTATTAAGCTATACACATTTCAGTTAGAGTGATGAATTTTTACGGAGCCGAGGGGAAAGTGAAAAAAAGGTTGAACAATGTTTTTTTTTCCTCCATGCCTTACCATAACGTTATCGTTCTCAACCATAAGTCCCATTGATTTGTGTTCGGTTTTATTCCGTTAAATGGCAAATATTGTTAAGGCAATAATACCTTAGTCGTACAGATAGCACTGCCAGGTACGAAAATCGATACAATGCCTAACTTTCGTATAGATTTCATTGCCAGATACAAAAAGGAATACAAGTACAAAATGTTATTTTTTGTACCAAAAAATCCTTATAATTTGTGAAACATTCCTATCGTCTCTGGATTGGCATCATTTGATTCAGCATAACGAAATTACACC